TCTCTCGGGGGCGGCAAGCAAGCGGGGGGATGACTGGGGGGGAGGGAGATCCTGGTGGGGGCCACGATCTCCCTCCAGATTTCGAGGCGCCTCTTCTTATTTCAGTGCGTGCCTGGCCCCTCCCCTGGGCCGCGCACATGCCGCCGGCCATGATTTGCGCCTCCCCCCCTCTCGGACGCCCCCCTCGTGGCCGCCCCTGGGCGTAAAAGGGGGTGTGGGTAGTCGCTGTGTTGTTCAACTCTGAAGGGGGGCTGCCATAAAGACCCCAGAGGAGGGGGTGATCAGTATCGTTTAAACGATCCCTATCCCAATCCCCATCCACATCTCGAACCCCACCGTCTCACCACCTCAGTTGGGGACATGCCCCTCGAAACGCGAAGAGAGCAGCCTATAATCCCATCAGGGGGATAAATCGGCTAGTGGGGCCCAGCCCACGCTGGTGGGGATGGGGATCGGTCAAACGATGCTCAGGTGACGATGAGGAGGATGAGGGGCGGTCTGACCGACCCCCAGCAAACCATCCCCTTCCGTGAGGAGTCATTCACCTTTGTTCTCTGTGCATGGCTGGGGCCTGCCTAGATCATGCTCGCGATTTGCCGCGTCTACCTGGGCGCGCGCGTGCGTGCCACGTGCTGTGTGTAGTCAGCTTGCGATCGCGGCAGCTCGCCTCATCGTTTCCCATTGCCTCCGTCCATTTCCACTCACTCGTCTTCTGGGGTAGCTTTCTAATCATCTTCATCGACCACCTTGAAGCCAACTGGGCAGCCTTTCGCCATTCGTGGCATTTTTCCGCACGTATCGACTTCTTCTCGTACGCCCCTGCGTCCGTGGCACTCCGTTCGCATTTCTGCCTTGCCCATTCTACCGCGTCACTCCTTATCTCTTGGACCGCTGTGGCACCGCCGATGGCCGTCAGCCTGAGGCCGTCTGGAGGCCCATCTTTGGCAATCTTCGGCGGCGAGCCCCGGGGAAGCGAGAGGGGGCAGGCCATCTCAGAAGGCGGCTGGGCTTCTCAGAAGCCCTCCAACTTTCTGAGAAACCGTCTCCTGTTTTCGGAGAAGGCATCGCGAATTTCTCAGAAGGCCGGAGGCCTTCCGACCCTTCTGAGAGGGGCGTCGCGTGCTGGGGGGGGCGATGAAATGGGGGGGCAACGAGCCCTCTCTGACTTCCCCCCCCGGGGCTCGCCGCCGAAATGTGATTCACAGACTAGCCAAGCAAATCCTTTGTTTTGGTCGCGGCGCTGGCGGGCGCTCAGCGCGGGGTGGTCCAAAGGGGTTGCGCAGGGGCCCAGCAAACAACACAGAAGCCCAGAGCAGTGAAACTGCACACAGAAGCCCAGAGCAGTGAAACTTTCCCGCAAGGCATGTCAGTGTTCTCCCCCTTCCCAGGGGCCTGCTGGAGGGCTCCTGGGAGACCTCGGCGGCCTCTGGGAGCCCATTGGGATCGCCAGGCCGTCCACAGAAGATGCCAGGAAGCTGAATAGCACCTGACGCGGCCGGCCCGGGTGAGAGCTGGATGCACATGTGGCCAGATGTCTTTGTGATCGTTTTATTATTCTTTGTTTTGCCAATCGGCGCGGGCCCCCAACCCCCCCCTCCCCGCCACCATGAAGTAGATCTTGGTTGTTTTTTGGCGCCTGTTTCGAGCAGGTGGAGTATCCTCCATGGGGCGCACTGTTGCAAGCAGATGCATTCAATAAAAGTCCGGAGCCAGACCCCCTCCTCCCCCCCCTCTCCGCCCAATGTCGAAACGTTCACCGTGACGCGGCCGGCCCCAGGCGAGAGCTGGATGCACATGTGGCCAGATGTCTATCCCGCACGCGGCCTCTTCATGGCCAGGTGCAGGTGCGGCCGTCCGCAGAGGGTTGGGGCGCGGCCGCGGTGCCGGCTTGCCCCATCCAGCGCCCCGCTGGGGTCGATCTGGGGCTCCTCTTCAGCTTGCCGAGGGGCCTGCCCATTGTGATCGTTTTTCAAGCAGTGGCGAAGCGTCCTGGCTCGCCTATAATTAGGCCCACCAAATAATGTTCCAAGAACCTTTTGTGGTCTGCACGAAATATTCTTAGAACATGTCTGGCTTAGACTGTGTTGTTTTTACACATCGGGCTTAACATGGTTTGTGCTATTGGAACGTTTTGGGTTCTTAGAACATGTCGTGGTAGGCCTATAAGAATGCCTGGACGGTCGGTCCCTGCTCAAGTTTTCTTATTCGTTGTTTTGCCGATCGGCGCGGGCCCTCGCACCCCCCCTCCCCCTCCCACCCCTGGAGTAGATCTTGGCTGTTTGGGGCGCCTGCCCAATCGCAGGACACACGGTGGCAAACAGAAGCATTAAGCAGAGGTCCAGAGCCAGACCCCCCCCCTCCCCCCTCTTCGCTCAGTATCGAAACGCCGCATAAGAAAACGCTCACCTTCTGTTCCTGAGGGGCCTCTAGGGTTAAGTCGGGCGTGTCCCTCTACAGGAAGAATATTCATAAATAGTAAACAAATAGTTGTGGAACGATTTGTTGAGTATTGTTCGATCATTTCGGGGTATTTTTTAGGTGTTGTTGATTTCTCGTCCAAAGTCCTTCTGTAGGGGGACATGCCCGACCTAGCTCTAGGGGGCCCGACACCCCCGGGCTTCGCGAAGCCGGGACATGTTGAGACTTGGTAGGCGCTGACACGGAGGGTCTGGCGCTGGCGGGCGAAGAGCGGTGTAAACACAGGAGGTGGTTTCTGTCGGGGGCGCCTGCCCCTTGGGCGGCTGGACAGTTTAGGCTCCTCTGGTCCTCGCCCGCGAATGATGGGGGCCTCTTTCGTGTGTGCGCGTGTGTGTTTGTGTGTTTGTGTGTGTGTGTGCGTGTGTATGTGTATGTGTGTGTGTGTGCGTGTGTGTGTGTGTGGATGTGTGTGTGTGTGTGCGTGTGTGTGTGTGTGTGTGTGCGTGTGTGTGTGTGTGTGTGTGTGCGTGTGTGTGTGTGTGTGTGGATGTTCTTCTTCTCCTCCCCTCTCCCCGCGGCGGCCGCCTGCCTCCCCCTTCTCCCACTCCTGCACGTGGGCCAATTCGCTTTTCGGTGCCCCCGTCCAGCTCTTTCGCTGGTGCAGCCAACTCTGCCTCTCGCCGCCGACGAGACAGTGTTTGGGGGATGCAAGCAAGGGTTCACCGGAGGGGGCAACGCATGTTGCAAAATGCCAGAAGTGCGCGGCGGTGGATCTCTTTTTTAAATTCTCTCTCTCTCTCTCTCTTTCTCTCTCTTGCCCTCCTCCCTCACCCCCTGCCTACGGTCCTGCTTGTCTTTTTCGATCGCTCTCTCTTTCTCCCCGTGCGTGACTCTCTCTCTCTCTCTCTCTCTTTGTACGCCCGCCTCTGCATGCCCATCTATCCCTGCATCCCCAGTTGTCTCACCAACCTTGTCTCCTTGCCCCATCCCCTCTCAATTCTCTCACTTTCGTTGTTCTCGCCATCTATTTCAGTGTTGCTCGCGTTCGCTCTGTCAATGTTTTCTTTCGTACCCTCTCTCTCTCTTTCTCTTTCTCTTTCGTCCACTCCCCTCATTCCCATGCCGCCTCCCTGTACCTCCGCCCTCACCCGCGTCCTTTTCCCTCGGGTACGCCTCAGAACTTGTTTCAATTTCTTTGCCTTGTTGTGCAGCTGTGGCACCGGACCGCAATATGGGGGCAGGTGCGGCCGGATCGGTAAGAGTAAAGACTTGGTTTTGTTGGCACTGCTGTCGCATGCGCCGAATTCATCGAAAAGGGCGCGTTCTGTGTTGAGAGAGTCGGAGGCAAGCGCCAGCGATTTCTGTGTCGAGAAGATCGGAGGCGTGCGCCGGCGATGCTGCAATGGGGAAGGCATGACGGTGGGAGTTGAAGCAAACCAGAGGCACCTGGGAGGTGCACGGTCAAAACTCGTCATGCGGATCGGTAACTTTCCAGAGGTACCCTTGCTGCATCCTTGCCTGCTCGGTGTATCCCCCAGGTGTGTCAGGATCGGGTTTTGTCTGTGCACCGCTAAACTTGCTTCCACTGGAGCGCCCCAGGGGCTTCCACTGATACCGTGCACCCTTTTTTTGAATCCGATTGTGGGGGTCAGAAGTGAGAGCTGTGCAGAAGGAAGGGGAGGAGCGAAGAAGTTACCAGCCCGGCCGTAGCCATTACGGCGTCCCTTGACCCACGCACTCGTGCAGAAGAAATGCGTTGACAAGACAGTCATAGAAATTCAATCGGACCAGAAGTTGAGCACGGCACTTTCGACGTATACGCATGGTTCATGTCTAAGTATTCGAAACTTCTTTGATTTTTTGGGGGGGCCTAGATCCTTTCATTTCTAATTGTTCTATCCTGGGCCGTTTCCTGGCCACTTAGGGGGCCAGGAACAATTAGAGACGAGCACAATTAGACACGAACACGATTAGAAATGAACGACGTGCACTATTGGTTGTAGGGGGTGGAGGTGGCAGCCTTCACGGACCTCGCGGGGACCTTGGGGCGGCGCCAGGTGGACGTGATGTGTCCAGGCGCTTCTTGGGGACGAGGCGGCCTGGCCCGCCAAGGACCAGGTGCCAGCATGCCAGAGTCATCGCTAGCACGTCTACCATATTTTTCCTCTACTCTTTTTCTTCTTCTTCTTCTTCCTCTTCTTCTTTTTCTTCTTCCTCCTGCTCCTCCTCGTTACCCTGGCGGATGTAAGGTCGAACGTCAAGCGACTCGGTGCAGGGTGCGAGCCTGAGAGTGGGCGCCCCATCCCACTCTGACTCCGATTTTCAAGGAGCCCCTCTCTCTGTCTCGTGAGGGAGAGGACAGAGGCGGGACGGCAGGCAGCAGCGGCGGGCGAGACGGACCCGCCCTGTCGTGAGCTCAGCACGGCGACATCCAGGAGGTAAGGGCTGGCGGTGGAGGTGGTCGCCGGGGTTTCTCTATCTCTCTCTCTCTCTCTGTCTCTCTCTCTCTCTCTGTTCTTTGTTCTCTCTCTCTCTATCTCTCTATGTGGTTGGAGCATTTCGGCCTCTATCTGCCGCCTGTCGCCCCCATCCTCCGGTTGGGCCCCTGGCGGCCTCGGCTGGCATTTGCGGGTAGATCCGGACCGCCTGAGATATCTATGATTTGGTGGCGTGCACTGATCAGCTGTGTGATGATGATGCTTGTTTGGTCATTGCAGCCAAGTTGTGTGATCGTATCGTCTGGGAGGTACGGTGGGGGCGTTGGCTAAGGCACGTGCGCGGGAGGCTTCAGACCCTGGAAGGGTTCCGTATCTGATGAGGGCGGCGACAACATCCACTGCCAGTCCGCGATTGGGGTCCCCCTGGATTGCAGACCCTGGATTCCTTACCCAATGCTTCTTTATCCAATGCCCCCACCGTGCTGCTCATCTGCGCGAGTTTGCGTCACGCGTGTTGGCCTGTGGGCTGACCTTTCGGTCGACTGCGGACTGCGGGCCCCTTCTGATTCGGCTCCCCTCCGTTCCCATGGGTGGCTCTTCACGGACACCTCCGCCCGCCTCGTCTCGCCGCCTCTCCCCCGTCCTCCCTCCCGTCGACGACGCCGAGAGAGGGCAGGGAGGAGTGGATGGCATCCCCTCCTCCTCCTCCTCCCCCTCCTCCTCCTCCTCCTCCTCCTCCTCCTCCTCCTCCGCCTCCCGCCGGCAGCGGCGCCGCCGCGGGGCCGAGAGCGGGCGGGTGGGCCATGTCGTGGACGAGCGAGTCGCCGCTGCTGCCGCGCGGCCCCTCGCCCGAGGAGGAAGCCGGGGCACCCCCTGCCTCCGCGCTGCTGCAGCCGTGCTGCCGCCGCCGCGTTGCTGCCGCCGCTTCGCTGCTGCCGCGCTTCTGCTGCCGCGCTGCTGCCGCTGCCGCCGCGCGGCTGCCGCTGCCGCCGCGCCACGGGCGCCGCCCGAGGAGGCTGCCGGGGCATCGCCTGCACCAGCGGCGCAGCTGGGGCGGGAGCGCTGCCCCGTGCGGCCCGCGGCGCCCGCCGGGCCGGCGGGCGGCGCAGACGCCGCAGGCGCGGCGGGCGGCCATCAAGCACTGGCGAAGCGTCTTGGCTCGCCTATGGTCCCACCGAAGAAGGTTCTAAGAACCTTTTGTGTTCTGCGCGGAATTGTCTCAGAACATTTCTGGTTGCGACGGTTTTGTTTTCACACATCGGGCTCATGTTCTAAGAACATGCTTTGTGCTACTAGAACGCTTTTAGGTTCTAAGAACATGTCGCGGTAGGCCTATAGGAATGCCAGGACGGTCGGTCCCTGCTCAAGGCCAGATCCAGCTCCCGCGCGTGGGGCGGGCCCTCGCGGACGCCGTGGACAGCAGAGGAACAGAAAACGGCACGAACATCACCTTGGAAAGGTCCGCGTGGATTTCCCGCGTCGGTGGTGGAGCCCCTTTCCCAGCCGCCCTGGGCGACACCTGCCGCCCCTGGCGCGGGGTGTGGGGGGGGGGAGCGGGTGAAGCGCCGACCCGAGGTATCCCGCAGGTCTCCCAGAGCTCATGTCAATGCCGCTGTCTGTTCTTCTGGGCATAGCCAACAGCTCGGGGGCTCCCACCGCCTTGTTCAGGTCCAGGCCTCTCGAAGGGGGTCGAAGCAGATTGGGTCGGAGGATCGCGCCGCATCCCCGGTGAATCGACGATGAGGCAAAGGGGAGCCCGATTTTCTCCACGCCGGCGTCGCCGATGCATCGCCGACGTCGCCGATGCATCGGCGATGTTTCGCGATCCCCCGACCCCATCTATTCGAACCCATCTAGGGGGCCTCTATCAGGGCAGCGTACAGACAGCCCCGGCACCGCCACCACCCCGTGGAGCGCATCGAGGAGCTCGTGCAGTCGGGCCGCACGCGCCGCGAGGCTCTGCGGCAGCTCACGCGCGAGAGCATGCACGCGGAGGTGCGCATCGCGCTCGGGGAGAACTTCGTGGCGGGGAGCACCGGCGTGACCGGCGTGTGCCTGTGCGCCGGCATGTCGGGGGCCCCCCAAGCGGTGTGGTGGCCACACCGCGCGGCGAGTCGGTGGGGATCCGGGTCACCGCAAACCGTGCGGTGACAAGCCGCCAGCCACGCGCAGAGGGGGTTGGGGGGAGGGGGGAGGGCTTCTTAGAAGCACCCCTCCTTCTTAGAAGGCGCGGGCCTTGTCTGTACATGCAAGGCCGGCGCCTTCTAAGAAGCAGCCTGCTTCAAAGAAGCCCTACCCCCTCCCTCCACCCTCTTTGTGCGCGCCGCAAAGGAGACTTCGAGGTCACTACGCGGTCCGTCACCACACTGTTCTGGGGCCCCCGAGCATGCTCTTGAGCGGCCTCGTGCTGGTGGCGGCCGCGGTCGTGTGCGTGTGCTGCTGGTTCATGAACGCGGCTGGGGTGTGCCTGACCGCGTGGCTCCTGCGCTGCGACAGCGAGCCCGCCCTGCGCCACTGGCTGCTGGGCCTCCAGGTCGCCGTGGTCGCGGAGGGCTGCCTGGTGGTCTCGGTCGGCAAGTGCGCGCGTCGCCACGCCGAGCTCGTGGCCGCGGTGGACGCGCGGATGCGCCCCGGCTTCGCCAGGGTGGGTGCCGGGAGGGCATGGCTTGCCCAGGGGAGGCAGGGCGGAGGCGGCAGTTGCAGGAGGGGAGGCAGGGCGGGAGGGCATGGCTTGCCGCACAGGGGAGGCATGGCCTTGGGAGGAGAAGGGCGGAGGAGGCAGTTGCAGGAGGCAGGAGGATGTGGAAGGATGGGCGAGTAGGAGGAGGAAGCAGGAGGAGAAGGCATGGGGTAATTAGAGGCTACACGGCAGAAGGAGGATGGACAAGGAAAAGGATGAGGAGGAGGCAGCAATATAAAAGGAAAAAGAGGAGGAGGATTCTGATGTTCGCCTTCTTTTGGGTTGGGGCTCCTGGAGGTCTCGCGCGGCAGCGTTAACGCAGTTCGAAAAGATGGTCGGTGATACAGCCAAAACACTTGGACCGACCCAGACCTCCAGGCGTCGCGGGAACTTACCACGACGGGCGATTGTCCCCCCAAGTGTTGGCCCCTGGGGGGGCCGTTTTCTGGCCCCGGCTCCATCAACCGAAAGAGCTGGGGGCCCGCCCAGAGCACGATTTCGGTTATCTGGTCTGGACGTCGGCGTCTCGGTGGCCCGCCAGCAGGTCTCGACACCCGAGCTGGCCTTTGATTGGATGACGAGGAGGAGGAGGAGGAGGAAGGAGGAAGGAGGAAGGAGGAAGGAGGAAGGAGGAAGGAGGAAGGAGGAAGAAGGAAGGAGGAAGGAAGGGAGGAGGAGGAGGAAGGAGGAAGGAGGAAGGAGGAATGAGGAAGGAGTCAGGAGGAAGGAGGAAGGAGGAAGGAGGAAGGAGGAAGGAGGAAGGAAGGAAGGAAGGAAGGAAGGAAGGAAGGAAGGAAGGAAGGAAGGAAGGCAGGCAGGAAGGAAGGAAGGGAGGAGGAGGAGGAGGATTAACATCCACAGAGCAGCCACGATACAACTGAGGGCTGGCGAAACCCTCAGAGGACGCTCATTGGCGTAAAAACGCCACCCTGGGCTCCGTTGCGCCAAGGGAGGCTGCCTCCTCCTCGCTCAGCGGAGGGGGGAGGGAAACCTCCCACTGGCTTCGCCTGCGCAGCTGTCGCCAGTGGCCTCCGAAGGCCCCTGGCCGTGCTCCAGGTGAGCCGCCCCCACAGGGAAAAGGAGGGGGAGAGGCCAGGGCGACCACCTCCACCTTCAAAACGCGAGGAGCCATCACGCGTGCACCGCACTTTCCCCCACAAATGGGGTGCCTGACACACGTGCAAGCAGCCTACGCGCAGCACACACACGAGTAAGCCCACGACCTAGCGAACGAACGCCAGGACTTAGGCAGACAGCGGAACTGAGCAAGGCAACGGTCAGGGCGACGAGCCCCCGTGCCAGGCCCACGTCTGGACACAACACTCCAGCGAGTGTGCCATGCGCCTCCCCCCTGAGGCGGGGTGCCTGACACGCGTGCAGAACGGAAACGTGCGCGCACACAAGCCGAACGCACGCAGTGCACCACTGGCCTGTCAGAGAAGCGGAACACGAGACAGAAAGACAGAAAATTCGACCACCCACACAAGGACGACGAGGACAGCCGCCCCAGGTGCAAAGAGCGCCAGGACGACGGCGAGCCTCGCCCCAGATGTGGGGGTATGCACACTGAAAAAATCGGGCTTACACACACTGATGCACTGGGCAAGTGCTAGGACGCGGGGGATGGCCGTCTCTCCCCTCCCAGCTTGAACTTAACTGCCACGGGCAAGACCATTAAGTTGAACAGAACAGGCCACATAACATCAAATACTATCCTTGGATCTGAGATCATAGGCGACGCCAGGACGACAGCCAGGAAACCCCAGGTGTACCTAACCCTAAGGGCGGACGCCTGGACGGCCCCTGGACTGCCCCAGGTGTGGGCCCAACTCGCACCCTGAGCCAGTGCCCCCATGGCGGGCCCTCCAGATACGGCCAAAGACCAACTGGGCAGAGCGATCAATGACCCGCCGCCTTCCGCTCCAACGAAAGGGACACAGACTAGCAGGGCGGCGAGCTAAGAGGGGAGGCCGCGGTCGGGTCGACATGACCCCCGCCTTCGCCCCTGAAGGGGTATTGCACGGGTGCCTGCCAGAAGCGCAGTCGCATCGGGCCGTGCGCCAGAGGAAACACTAAAAACAAGGCCAACCGCAGGCCAGCCGCCAGAGACAGAAATGACAGCGGTGGGTCAATCCGAACTGTCTGACTCCTCCTGGCGGTGGGGCTCCTGCTGACCTCGCCCACACGGGGCAGCGCCCGTGGCCCTGCTGCTGGCGCCTGCGGCGGCGCTTTCCAAGCGCAAACCCATCGCCGCTTGTCGGAGCACTTGGGGACCGATGTCATCCACTTCGTCATCGGGGGAGGGAGGCTCGAACGAGGAGTGGGGAACATGGTCGGCAGGCAGCTCCTCAGGCCTGCCTATTTTCAAGAACGACTTGCGAGGGTGCCGTCCTTGGATAATATTATTGAAATTCGTGAGGCCGTGACCCTTGAGTTCTTGTGCACAAGTCCTGGACAGGGCGGTTTTCACGAAAACGGCTTGGTGCATATAACCCCCGCATTTCGGGCAGAACAAAAACTCGGCACCGTCAGAGCACGGAAGGACCACCACGCTGTGCCCTAAAGAGTGGGCCACATCCAAATCATGGTTGGCAGTCAGTAAGCATTTCCCACTAGGTGGCTTAGTGACCGAACGTGAGCCAACTCTACATACCGTGCACCTCCAAACAGAATGCTGCCATTGCCACGCGTGCGGGGTCGAGGGCTCCGCAGGAACCGCGATGGTGCGACAAGGGTTAACCAGCGGGCAATCCCCTAGGTCCAGCCGAGGCCATAAAGGCAAACGCTTGGCAGCAAGCCGACAAACAATTTTACTGATTTTGACGCATCGAGTGACGCGCTCAACCTCATGGGCAGACGGCTGGGGGTGGGATCGAGCGCCTCGTTGGGCGGCTTGGTCCGCGTAGTTATTCCCAACCCTCAACAGTCGTTCGGAAACGGAAATACCTACCTCCTCCACGTCCTGATGGGCCTTGACCTTGACCACTTCACGGACGTGTGGGGGGCATTATTGCTATATATAAAAAGTGCCCCGCATACCTTCTACGATAAGACAGCCTTTCACTGGGGGGCAGGCGGAAATGATTGACTACCGCAAGGCAGTCAGAGAAAACTTCAGACTGGGCAACGATATGCAGCGCGGCCATGGCCAGGGCGCTGTATTCTCCAGCTGGCGCAGTCTGACTGACTGGAGCGTGGACTGGGCCATGGGGGGCACACAGGAGGGAGCCCTGGGGGGAGACCATGCAAACACCCCAGCCTGCCCTCGATAATTCAGGGATGGGATGCCAACAACAACTCCCATCAACGAAAATACGACCTTGGATGTCTCGTTTTGCGAGCTCCTCCGAGAAGTCCTCATCCTCAGCTGACGGCAGAATGACCCCTCCCCCCGAACTAAGAGCTTTCGGCCAGAAAGATTCGGGATGTTCGAAAATACCCCGATCGAACAGGATCTGATCACTATTCGAGAAAGGTCCCCGAGCCTCCTCAAGGATCTCAGCAGGAATAAGCTCGGCACGAGTTTCCTGGACGGCCGAACAGTCATACAGACGGTGGTGGATGGTATCCCTGCAGAGACCACAGAGGAGGAGGAGGAGAAGGAGGGAGAGGAGGAGGAGGAGGAGGAGGAGGAGGGGGAGGGAAAGAGGAGGGAGAGAGGAGGAGGAGGAGGAGGAGGAGGAGGAGGAGGAGGATGAGGAGGAGAGGAGGAAGGAGGAGGGAGGAGGAAGGAGAAATAGGAGGAGGAGTTGAGCGGGGGCGTGTTTTAAAAACGATGGTTCGGGACGAGAGGCCGGTCCCAGGGGAGGCTGTCCCGGCTGCCGCTCCTCGGGGGGGGGAGGGGGGGGGGGGGGGCAATAGTGGCTCAGGAGGAGTAACAAAAACTCACACACAGACACCATGAATCGCCGGTTCCCTGGAGAGGCTGGGGAGATATGGGAAGTTGGGGGAAGACGAAAACCCAGAACATATGAACGTGGGAATCCTGGGATGTGTGTGAATTGATCTGTGTACCCCAGGGCACCTTTAGTGGCCCTGGCCCGGCGGCCCCATAGGTTTTCCAGAGAGAGGCCCAGGCGGCCTCCAGAGCACCAAAGCGAGGCCTGGAGGGCCCCAGCGGTTCCACAAGAGCGCGATGTGCTGGGGGCACCTTCGGCCACGGCCGCCTGTGGCAACACCCGACCTCCTTCCCTTAATCCAGGGTCGCGGTTCGAGGATCGAGGAGGAGGAGGAGGATGTCCCTTCTCTTTTCGGATTCCACTTACCACTGCCACTACCACTACCACGACTACTACAACTACCACTACCACCACCACTACACAAACTACTACCACCGACCACTACCACTACCACTACCACTACTACTACCACTACCACTACTACTACTACTACTACTACTACTACTACTACTACTACTACTACTACTACTACTACTACTACGACTACGACTACGACTACTACTACTACTACTATACTACTACTACTACTACTACTACTACTACTACTACTACTACTACTACTACTACTACTACTACTACTACTACTACTACTACTACTACTACTACTACTACTACTACTACTACTACTACTACGTACTACTACTACTACTACTACTACTACTACTACTACTACTACTACTACTACGACTACTACTACTACTACTACTACTACTACTACTACTACTAACTACTACCTACTACTACTACTACTACTCATATTACTACTACTACTACTACTACTACTACTACTACTACTACTACGACGACGACTACGACCAGGACTACGACTATGATACTACTACTACTACTACTACTACTACTACTACTACTACTACTACTACTACTACTATTACTACTACTACTACCACTACCACTGCTACTGCTACTACTACTACTACTACTACTACTGCTACTACTACTACTAAAAACAATAATACGACTGCACTGGCTACGACGACGACGACG